TGGAGGCCCAATGCCTGCAGATTGCCTGCGAGGCCCTCCTCCAAGCTGAGGAGACGGAGACAGGTGAGACGGCTGAGCAGCAACTAGCTGCCGAAGTTGGCGCTCCCGACGAGACGATGGAGGAGAAGGAGGAGGCTGAGCCAGAGATCGAGCTCACGGATGCAGATTTGGGAATCGAGCCGGAGCCGGAGGGTGAAGAAAAAGATCCCTTGCTCCTCGAGCTCGGGGAGGTCATCGATGAGAACGCCCCGGACCCGGCCCCAGAGGGCGAGGATGGCACTGGCGAGACAGCTGACGAGGTAGCCGGCGATGGCACCGGGGATGGAGGGGGTGAAGCAGCCGAGAAAGGAGAGGGAGGAGGAGCAGAGATAGAGCTCACAGATGCAGATCTGGGGATTGAAGCACCTTTGTCGGAAGATGAGGTTGAAGCAGAGGTTGAGGAGGAGGATGAAGATTACGACCCCATGAAGGAGCTGCCAGCCGCAGAGACGCTGGAGGGCGAGAACATGGTGCTCACCGATGCAGACCTGGGCATTGAAGCACCCATTGAGGAAGACGGGGAGATGGCTCTCACCCCAGCAGATTTGGGGATAGAAGCGCCCTTGTCGGATGGGGAAGACGTGGTCATCTTGATGAAGGCCACTGCAAAGGTCATGCCCTCTCGGAAGCGACCGCGGGAGGAGGAGATCACAGTGAAGCAAGAGCTCGAGGAAGCAGAGGCACCACCGGATGAGGAAATGCCGCTAGAGATGGCTCCGGAGGTCTCCGCTGAGCCCAAGGCAGACGCCGACGCTGCACCTGACCAGTCGATGGAGGCACCGGCCGAGGAGGCACCTGCCGAGCAGGCGCCAGCTGAGGCAGCACCTGACGAGGTGCCTGTAGAGGCAGCGCCTGCGGGGGAAGCGCAAGACGCGCAAGAGCCCGAGAAGGCGCCAGAGGCGCCGCATCAAGGGGAGTCCGACTGCGTCTAGCACGAAAAAAGGGGTGACTGCATGCCCTCATCTCATACCTCACTTGCTCACGAGTCGGGTCATCCCCACCATTCCCCACCTTCGCACAGGTCTCCTGGTGAGCGCTGCCCAGGCCCAGACAGAGACGTGGCAGTGGAAGGTTGAAGCCGTCCGACTTCACGGATTGCATGCCAATGCCCTTGTGGAAGGGAAAACAGCAAGACTCAAGCGCGCGTTATCCAGAACCTGTGAACATGCGAACTACATCCCGGAGGCCACTCTGGGTCTCTTGGAGACGGGGTCCATGGCCCCGAAGTCCGCGGAGTTCGCCTCAACAGCCGAAAGAGCTGAGAAGGCAGGTGGAATCTAATGAGCAGGCTTTGGGGTGTACAGTGTGGGCCTTTGGCTTCATAGTCAGACTCATATAAGGACTTCAGAGTACGGATTAGCATGCAAATTGACCTCATCTTGCCCACAATGTAGCACCCTGTGTTCGTCTTTCAGGACGGATTTGCCGCAGCCCCCTGTTCAGCTCTTTTTGAAGGCCTCCTGCACAGACAGAACCTTCCAAGACCTGCAGGTACACGGACTGGACCAGGTTCAGAGCAGCATGTGCATGATGCACAATAGGCATAACACAAGCATCACTCCGAGTGTTTACCTAACTTCGGAAAGCCGCATAGCAACTTGAGAAAATACATGATGCGCTCGCCAGTTTGCCAAACGAGCGATCGTTCTGGCGCGGGAGCAGAAGAGGCGCTTGGCGATGGTGAGCTTCAGCTGGTGATGGTAGGCCGTATACATTCCATGGTGCACATGTTGAAGCGTGAATAGGGATTAGGGTGACATGGAAGCGATTCAAGGTAAAAACGAAGGCTTCCCAACACGATTTGCGCAAATTGTATCAATGCGTCCTTCATTTGTGCTTCATGGTTCTTCCTGAGGTTTGTGTACCATGCCCTCTTTGATCAGCGGCCGTGGCAGACTCTAAAGCGTATCAATTGCAGCAGGACCGATTTGATGATCTCGGCTCTCTGCACCGTCTCCCAATCGCAGTACCTCTCGGGAGAGAAGCATGCCGGGTGCTTGAGTTTTCAGTTGTCAAATTCAAGGTGTGTCGCCATCGGTGCATGCTTGGCTTGGCTTAGCTTGCTGCAGAGAATCAGCTTTGTGACAGCGATACAGGCGAAAAGGCACCTCCGTAGATTCCAGGACGAGAGACTCAACCAGACATCTCGACCTGAGGCGGCTCGCCAGGCAGCTGTGAGCGCCGGCAGCCTCGCTCGACGCAGTGGCGACCGCCTTGGGGAGGCCATGAAAATCCGACCGACATGCATTGCAAGTTGTCGCATGACTTTACACGAAATGCCTTTGATCATGTCTGTCCGGCAACACGTTGTTGACCTCAACTTTGTCCCAGCGGCTAGATCTACGTACAGTAGCAGTCTTCACATGTTCATACAGCTTTACTTTGGTGCCCTCGAACTGCATGCAGAAGACTGATCACGCCCCCCGGGACAATGCAAGCCCTATAAGCCTTGCACATGAAGCATGTGCACATTCGTTCGCACCCCATCGCGTTGCAGGCAACGGCGTCCTTGCTTCTTGGCCACTCGTGCGCCGACTGCAGGCATCAGGTCGCAAACCGAGTCCGCAAAGGCCTCCGAAGAGCCAGACAGGTACGTCTCCCTTGGCAAGATGGAGCCTGCGAAAGAAGCGGCTAGTGGAAAGCTTAGCTTCCATGCTTCGTTGAATCACTCGGGCTTCTTTCTCGCTCTCCAGCAACTTTCATGCTTGGCAAACGTGGGATGGAGTCCTTGCAATCGCTCATTTAGCCTTGCAGTCGCTTGTTTCGGAAATCAGTTTCCATCCAACATCATTTATCGTATGCATGATGCAGATCAAGGTGTGAGGCTGTTGGAGGTGAGCCTCAAGCAGCCACTATCATATTCGGGAGACAGCATGAAGGATAAGCATCGCCTTTCGAGTTCTGCGGCGGTTCTTCTTAGGCGAGATGAGCCTGGGCCGGGCTTTTGCATCAGCCATATAAGCATTAGATAGCATTAGCTTTCCCGTGAGTTGCCCGCATGGCGTTTGTGCAAGCGGCGTGTCAGTGAACATCTACCAGGCGCTGAATTGCGCAAGCTGCTTATCCACACCTTCAGAGGTTCCCAACACCTTAATCTAATTTCTAACCAACTGAGGCAAAGGGCTCTACGTCTTCGAGGCCTGTGCCACACACAGCTTGGAGTTCTGAGATGGAGATGGGCGGCGTTTGCCATCTTGCAGATGTAGCTGGCAGCAGAAGCTTTATAAGCCTCGCTTAATGAGACTGTGGGGCTGCCAAGCCTCTGTTCGCTTGTCCGCTCAGTTTGCAACTGCAGAGGCTCGAACTTAACCAACTGGTCCTCGAAGCTTACACCCAAACCAGGACGTCCAAATCGCGGCAGTCACAACTGTCTGAGGAGCTTCACGACTTTATCGGCCAGGATTTGGCAAAGGCAATTCCGGCAGAAGGTCTCTGAGGGTCCCAGGGTGTTTCTGGTTTCCATCGTGATGCTTGGGGAGTACCGTTCGAGATTTATGCCCGAGTTCTTATGTTGTTCTGGTGCATGTGACTGTTACAGTGTGCGAAGAGGCCCTGGGAAACTGCTGACTGACTAGTGCCAGAGCTTCGTGCCGGTTGAGAGGTATGCTTGTTTCAGAACCATCAGAAGCTAACGGCTCACGTCATTGCGGCGCTCGTCTGAGCGACGAGATTTCATTTGTGTGTCAGCGCATGAATCGCAAAGCAACAGCAGGCAACCATCGATGCCATCCTCAATCCCGTCAGTGCCGTTACGAAGACCGGGACGGCTGGGGCCTCAGGAGTTTTTAGGAGTCTCCGCGACGGCTGCTGTTTCACCTTCATTGGCCTGCTGCGCAGCTTGTATGTACCACTGCTGCCCTGCTTGTAAAGGCCTGCGCCATTCTGCACCCCTTCTTAAATCAGCAGGAGCCAGCACGGCAACAGGTTCAACATAGGGTTTAGGACGAAGCTTCAAGCGACGGCAAAGAACATGGCAAGACATAGGGAACAGAGCCGGAAGATCAAGGGCAGACCTATCCATCGCTTCTACGGGCGCAGGCCCGCGCTCGGAGCTGAATTGAAGGAAACGTCAGCACCAACTACAGGATGCAAAATGCGATGAGCAAAGAAGAAGTCAGGTTTGGAAGCCCGCGAGGTCTTCCTGCTTGAACCAGAAACTTCCCATGACCAGCCCTTGCTACCACATAAGACTGAAGTCTTAGGATGAAGCCTTTTTAGAGCGGGTCGCAGAGGGACATGAAGGGGGAAGATCTTTTCAGGCTCGTCCAGGGCATGCCTTCCCCCGCTCACAGGCAGCAAATTGGTTCCTGGCTGCCACATACGGTTGCAGGGACAACAGTGCATGAGATTGCATGCACAAGGGGAGCCACACTCTGTCTCTTGAAGTCGAGCAGCATGCCACAACGGCCTACGACAGTATGCATGGACACTTGCACCCGCAGCCAACCTGTCACGGGATTTATGTTCCGGTGTGAAGTGTTCAATACACACGTGCGTGCAAATGGGCAGTTTCACTGGCTTGCTTTCCCCGTCCACATCGACACAGGGAAAAGGGCACTTTCAGCCTGTCACGAGTCCAATCACCACTGGCAACAAATAAGTAGATGGTGATAATTGAACTGCAGTGCGGTCAATTCTGAAGTGTTCAACATAGGATTTCACTGCCCCTTTTAAGCGTCAGGCGACGGAGCTCGAGATATCTACAGACAATTGTTCCGAAGTCAAGCCCTGCAAATTGTCGAGCCTGTGCGTGATTGGTGGCTGGCAGTGCTTAAGGACGGTCTGTTATTGGTAGGAGAGCCGCACGGCACTGGCTCGCCTAAGGGGCGAAGAGCCAGCTGCTTTGAACACATGAAGCAAGCGATCCGACCTTGTCCGCAGTGACATGTAGATTGCTATACATTCGATCCTTGGTGGACCGGTGACCTGTCTTTCAGAAAGCCTCAAGCGAGCAGGTTCGAATGGTACGAAGACGCAAGGCAAGCAGCGACCCCGGATCGGCGATACCATTGTGGTTGATTGTGTTTCAAGTTTCGTACAAGCGTCAACTGCGGTTGGCCGAGATGAAAGCGTTTGCAGCGAAGCAAAGCTGACACAGGTGAAGATAAGCATGGCAATGTTCATGGTGTGTTCTAAGGCCTTCGAAACTGTGTAGTCTCTAGGCCTTGAACCAGTCAAAGGCGATCGACATGAATCTGATTCGGGGTGTTTCTGTGGAGCTGCTTCAGCGAAACAAGAACGGGGAGATGGGCCGACAGCCGGTGCAACTGGTGGGGTGAACAAGAAGACTAGCGAAAGCAGCAGTAGAAACTCAAACCGTTTCTTCGCTTGAGCTCCCATAAGCTTGGGTCGGCTCACGCCGCATGCGAGCGTGTGGCGATGTACGATGCAGACGAAAATCCGACTGTGCCCATGTCGAAGGTGCATTGGTTCTGACCTGTGTTGTTTGGAAGCAGTGTGGCTTGCCTGATAAAACCACAGGGGTATCAGCTATGACGTGTCGGACGAAGCGACTATTGAAGATCTCTGGATTTCATAGGCCTTTCCTTTCAATTCGACCAGAAACACACGAAAGTTCAGCATTCATGTGTTTATACCCTATGTATAGTATGCTTATAATGCATATATTCATACATACATATATGGTGCAGCGCTGCCAGGCCCCCTCCCCCACCCCTGTTCCCTGTTGTGTGGGTGATTACGATCCCCGTCCTGCCTTGGCTGCTGTGGGGGCGGCGAGGGGGCATACCGGGAAGAAAAAAGGGGGTCCGGGGGTGCCACTGCCGTGGCGACGCGGGAAAACAAAAACACATCAAAATAAAAGAACAAAAATATATATATATATATATATATACGTATATATATGGTACCCCCCCCCCTCAGTTATCTACCTTTTTCGGTG